CTAGAAGACACTTAATTCCTCGACAACGACTACGTAGACATTCACTTCCTCGACGGCAAAAATCTAGACGACACCTAGACACTTAGTTCCTCGACGATAAACACGTAGAGATTCACTTCTTTGATGGCGAAGACCTAGACGATACCTAGACCTTCGACGGCGAACATGTAGACACTCACTTCCTCGACGGCGACCATGTAGATATTCACTTTTTCGATGGTGAAGACCTAGATGACACGTAGACACTTAATTCGTCGACGGCGAATACGTAGACACTCACTTCCTCGACAGCGAAGGCCTAGACAATTCCTAGACATTTATTTCATCGACGGCGAAGACCTAGACGACACCTAAAATACTTAGTTCCTCGACGGCGAACACTTAGACACTTAGTTCCTCGACAGCGAATACGTAAACACTCACTTCATCGACGGCGACCGTGTAGACATTCACTTCCTCGACCGCGAAGACCTAGATGACATCTAGACATTTAGTTCCTCGACGACAAACACGTAGACACTCACTTCCTCGACAACGACCACAAGAGAGTGTGAGAGAGACGAGAGAGTAGAGAAACACACGAGAAAGTCGTGAGAGAAACGAGAAAGTCAGGAGAGAGACGAGGGACAAGATTAAAATTTTGTGAAGAAAAAGACGACGACGATGATATAGCAGACCAAAGAGACTATACAACAATGAAATTTTACGAAAATTTAACGAAAAACAGACGACAACAACGGCGGCGAAATTATAGACCAAAGGGGACAAGATTGAAATTTTGCGATGAAGACGACGACGATGACGACGACAACGACGACGTATCTGAATGACATAAAATTGGGCAAAAAAATGCATGCACTTTATGCACGTATGCATCAAATGCACTTATGGACATCGCTATTACAGCATTGTGATTGGAAAAATATAGCCGCTACCGCGTCTCCTGATGTACTAAAATTGTCGGATGAATTTTATGATCAAACGGCCGTATCCCGAATTATAACGTGACGTTAAATTAATGTTTCAAGTTATTGTGCCGAACACGGAATGTCGTTACATCTAGTGAATAAATAGCTATTACACTAGAAATAATTTACAATATAAATTACATAAATTGAGAGCTTAGATAATTTTTAGTAAAAGAAATATTTTCTCTTAATTTTTGTTACTATTATATTTTTGTTACTATTTTTCAAAGTATAAAAACAAAAATGCACTGCTCTTACAAGTTTTTCTTTCCGTATATCGTTGTATCGCATTATGCAAATATTCTCTGTTGTAATGTTAATCGTTAAATATTTGCAACAGTTTTCGAGTTTTGATCTTGCCAATCTATTTGCGTTTCTGACATACGCTTTAATAAAACTGCTCCAAACGTTTACGTACGCGTGGTATGGCACTCTCCTCACAAATGCGGTAAGTTTTAATGATCTGGTAAATCAACATTATAACTCAAAATTAAATTTGAATGTATTTAGGGCGAGGACTTTCGTAATGGAATATACTTTGGCGAATGGCCTAATTCTAGTCTCGATCGTCACGTGAGAACAAATGTTATTTTGATTATGATGCAAAAACCAATGACTGTAAACGCAGTTTTTACTCCTGTCGATGTAATCATGTTCACAAATGTAAGTATTTTAATTATAATCGGCCAAGTAAATTTGAGTAAAAGTTTATTATTTTCCAGTCACTTTTAGCTTTATTGTGCTACTATTTTGAAGTAACATTTATATTTTATTTTTATAAAAATAGAAAATTCAAGACACATAAGAGAATATATAAAATTTGAATTTAATACTATTAGCAAATAAAAACAAAAATTTTCAAATAGAATTTTTTAAATACAGAATGTATTTTAAATAGCGTCTAATTATATGACGTTATTTTTTGTAAAAAAAACTGAGTCGAAAAGTCCTAAACTATTTTTTCTACACATGCTAAATAAAGTTATCATTACAGTAATGTAGGATGTGCAGTACGCTCGATGCGTTGTCCTGCGTTGCTCTGCGCCTCTGAACTGCGCGCGTTACGATAGGTGGCAGTCACCGCCCGATCTCGATCGGCAGCGATTTTCGGTTGTTATAAAAAAAGCGAGGTCTTGGTCGTCAAGGGCTCTCGGCAGCAGTCGTCGTAAGCATAGCGTTAAGGCGAACGAGTCTCGCCACTTTCTGTACCCTATCTTTTAAAATATATTCACATACTTGTAATCTGATTACAAGTTTTTGGGAGCTCGTCCGGAATACGGTTGAAAGTGTGAGGCGAACAGTGAGACACATTAAGACGAGTCAAGACGAGGACGCAGTTACAAAGTTTTAAGACGTACAGCTCAGACAATATGACGGAACCAGGTGCGATAAACGACTACTTAAGTGCCAAATTGGCGGAGATGACAATGGTCCAATTAAAGAGGGAATTCGGTCTCTTAAGACTGAAGACGACTGGACTAAAGAATGAACTTGTTCAAAGGCTATCGGCGATCATGCAACTAGAACATGAACACGGAAAATCACACGGCAAGACAAGCAAGAAAGGCTCCGATACGGACACGCATGGACGACGAGAAGATGAGAGCGAAGATGATTCAAGTTCGAGCGACGAAGGAGAAGTGGCTTTGATCGAAAGAAGGTGAAACAGAGTAAGAGAATCTCGACGATATCACTCATTAACATTTTGTGATGTTGAAGAAACTCTAGAGGCGTTCAGCGGGGACGACAAAATCGACGTAAAAAAGTGGATTCAAGAGTTCGAGGAAATGGCGGCGCTGTGTGAATGGTCCGATATCCAAAAGGTGGCGTATGCGAAACGGCTCCTGGGTCAGCGAAATTATTCATCAGATATGAAAAGTGCACGAAGACGTGGAAAAAGTTGCGGAGAGCATTAACAAAAGAATTCACCGACATCATAAACAGCTACGCTGTACATCAAGAATTATCGCGATGGGAGAAAACATCCAACGAGTCGCATCAAGAATATCTATACAAGATGCTCGAGATCGCAGCGCAAGCGAACGTCGACACTTAGTCGGTAATTCAATACGTTATCAAGGGTATCCGAGATGACGTTGTTAGTAAAACGATACTGCACGGAGCGAAGACGGTATAAAAATTGAAGGAAAGATTTGCCCAATACAAAGCGATAAAAAAAGAAGGAAAATCGAAGACGAAGCAACTAAAGCAAGAAGACAATAGGAAGAAGACGATACAGGACGCAGGTTCTACGGAAACGAAGCGATGCTTTAATTGTGGTAGCAAGGACCATATAAGTAAGATGTGTCCGTCAAAGGACAAAGGTACCAAGTGTTTCAAATGTAATCAGTACGGACATATCGCAAAGTTATGTACGGGAGTAAAAACGCAGAAAAAAACCGCGTATGTAATTTTTGATAATTCGCGGCAAAAGCAGTTAAAAGAAATAGAAATTGCGAGTCAACATTTTGTTAGTGTTATAGACATTGGAAGTGATCTGAGCCTAATTAATCGAGATTGTTACAAAAAAATTAGGCTGCCCAGAATTAAAAAAACAAGGTACGTTTTGATGGTGTAGGTGTGGCGAATAACAGTACTTACGGCTCTTTCGCGGCAAACGTTGGCGAGATATATAAGATTGTTTTTCACGTTGTTAATAATCAAATAATGAAGTGCGCGATCCTGATCGGCGCTGACTTCTTGAATCAAGTCGAATTACATTCCGTAGGGGGACGAGTTACAATTGTAAGATTATCGCGCATATGCCCGAAGTGTTTAAAATAGATGCAATAGAGAATGCTGAGCGACCCAATTTTTCGTACATACGGAGAAAGATGCTCGTCAGAAAATAAAAAAAATTGCGCGAGATTATGCGCGAGCCTAAGGGGACGCGAGAAGTCGGAGTCAAGATGACACTAATTTTGAAAGACGACATTCCAATCTATCATAGACCGCGTAGGTAGTTGTCTCAGCCGGAGAAAGAGGAGGTAGATAGGCAGTTAAAGACATGGCTAAATGACAATATTATCAGACCTTCAGTTTTAGAATACGCGAGTCCTATTGTGTTAGTAAAAAAAAATGACTATACAAGAATTTTTACGTAGAATACAGAAAATTAAATGAAAAGATTGTAAAAGATCGATACCCGCTGCCGCTAATTGAGGATCAACTAGATCGGTTACAAGGTGCTAAAGTTTTCAGTATTAGACTTAAGAAATGGATTCTTCTATGTTGACGTAGCTAAGGAAAGTAGAAAATATATCTCCTTTATTATACCGAATGGTCAATATGAGTTCACAGGAATGCCGTTCGGACTCTGTAACTCTCCGGCAGTGTTTTAAAAATTCGTAAATGCCGTGTTCAAAGATTTAATAAACGAAGGAATCGTGCTAACTTATATGGACGATCTAATTATTCCTTTGCAAAATACCGAGCAAGCAATTAATGATTTAAGACGCATATTGCAGGTATCAAGTCAGGCTGGTTTGCTCTTTAATTGGAATAAGTGTCGTTTCCTTCAGGCAAAAATCGAATATTTGGGACACATTATAGAAATGGAACCGTGCGACCCTCCAAACATAAAACTAGTGCCGTTATGAAGTTTCCAGTCCCGAAGTATGCTTGCGACGTATAAAGTTTTTTGGGTCTTACCCTTGGATTTTTCCGAAAGTTTATTTTTCGATATTCAATAATAGCTAGGCCATTAACAAACCTCCTCAAAAACGACATTGAATTTCGATTTAGAGAAGATAAGATGCGAGCATTTTTTAAGTTTGAAACACGTGTTGAGCAATAAACCCGGTTTAAGATTGTATTGATATGGTGCCGAAACAGAGCTTCACACGGACGCTTCCAAATTTGGCTACGGCGCGATTTTGTTGCAAAAAGATTCTTCAGATAATACTTTCCATCCAATTTATTACGCAAGTGGAAAGACTACCTCCGCTGAAGAAAAATATACTAGCTATGAGCTGGAGGTACTTGCAATTATTAAATCTCTAAGGAAGTTCAGAGTCTATCTGTTGGGAATCCCCTTTAAAATTATTACCGACTGCAAGGCGTTTATCCTAACGATGAGAAAAAAGGATTTATGCGTATGTGTGGCTCGTTGAGCCCTCGCGATAGAAGAATTTGACTATAAATCCAACATAAGTCGGGAAAGAATATGATGCATGTAGATGCGTTAAGCAGAAACCCCCTTTCAGAGGCATTACTTATTAACTAAAGTTACGACAGCTTAATTGCTAGATTCAAGAAGGCTCAGAGAACCGATCGGGATTTGCAGAGGATTATTGAATTAGTAGTGCATGATAAAACGAAAGATTATGTGGTTAAGAATAATTTGCTATATCGAGACAAAGGTAGCGATTTATTGTTAGTAGTATCGAAAGTGTTACAAACCTCGATAGTTAGACAGGTGCATGAGTAAAGGGATTTCGCGATTGATAAAACGTAAGCGCTGTTAATCAAAGATTATTGGTTTAAAGAAATGCAATCAAAGATTGAAAAAGTGATAACAGGTTGTATTAATTGTATTTTAGCCGAACGAAAGCAGGGTAAACAAGATAGAGTGCTAAATATAATTAATAAAGGCGACGTACCTTTAGACACGTACATATTGATCATCTGGGTCCGATGCCCAGTACAAAGAAAAGTTATCGATATATTTTCATGGTAGTAGATGCGTTTAGCAAATTTGTATGGTTATACGCTGCTAAGTCGACCGATACCGCCGTAGTGCTTGATCGCTTGCGGAAACAGTCTGCTCTATTTGGTAATCCGCGTAGAATTATTTCAGAGTGCGGAACTGCATTTTCATCCGGTGCCTTTAAGGAATATTATGACGAAGAGAAGATCTAGCATTTTCTCATATCTGCGAGAATCCCTAGAGGTAACGGACAAGTAGAGAGAGTAAATCGTACACTTATACCGCTTTTAAAGAAATTATCGACACCGAAACCAGAAGAATGGTTTCAATTCGTAATAATCGCGCAAAAGTATTTAAATGCTGTTCCGAGTCGACGAAGCACAGGCCGAACACCATTCCAATTAATGTTTGGTACTCATATACGCCTAAAAAAAGATCCACAAATACGCGAAATGATCGAAAGTGAATGGACGCGAATGTTTGAGCTGGAGCGCGATGATATCCGTCAGGAAGCGAAAAGAAAAATTACCGAAGTTTAACAAGAAAATTTAAGAAACTTTAATAAAAAAAGAAAAAAAGCGCGGATGTATGAAGAAGGAGATCTCGTCGCGATCAAGCGAACGCAGTTAGGTCCAGGGCTCAAATTTCGTAATAAATTTTTAGGTCCATACCGTGTAATTAGAGCGATGTAAAACAATCGGTATATTGTCTTGAAAATAGGCGATCATGAGGGACCTCAAAAAACTTCAATAGCAGTCGATTATATGAAGTCATACTTATGACGAAAAGGATGAGGACATAGAGAACGATGAATAGAAAACAGAAAAAGATATACTTTAAGCGTTCATACATGTTAAATAAGATTTAGTATATAAGAAAATAGAATTTGATCTGTATTAGATATTTTGATCTGTATTAGAATAGGCATTCGAGGACAAATACTGTACAGAATGGCCGAGTTTGCAGGATGTGCAGTACGCTTGATGCGTTGTCCTGCGTTGCTTTACGCCTCTGA